AATTTACTTTGTATTGATAATATAGTATAACAGCTTCATGTTCACTGGAAAAAACTAATATATGTTTAAATTTCATATACATGATAAGTAAGGTTAAGATTTTGTCTCAGGTATTTTTAATAAAAGGCAAGGACAGATTGCAGGCTGTAAACAAAAATTCATGGAAGCCTGTCCCTAACATTTACTGAAAGTACTACAGGTTTGGGGGGCGGTGCGGGGGGAGACTAACAGTGGGAGTGCTGCAGGAAAGGGTGTTGCTGGCTGCTGCTCTGGGGCCCCAGGGCCGCTTGGGGACGGGTGCTCTGTTTTGGTGATCCTGGAGCTGATCCAACCCCTACCTCCTTCAGCTGCTTTAGTCCTGGGGCTGCTGCTCTTACGCTGCTGTTGCAGAAATCATAAAGGTCCCCTAAATCCATGTAATCTGTAACTTGTGTGACAGAATTGTATTCTTAATCATAAATTAAGGCACTATTTGAAGTTTGTTTAAAATTAATGGGCTAGATTCACTGTTGCACTTAACTCTATTGATTATAGGATGGGCAGAAGGTGTTTAAGGTGCTAACTTCAATAGTTTTGGCCTTGTCATAATGCACAGATGCAAGGTAGCTGCACAAGCCTTTGGGCTTACTGTGAATATGCTCAGTGAATCTGTGCTCAGATAAGCACTCTATGATGGTGTAGAAAAAACAACAAATGGTCTGGTAGCACTTTATAGACTAATAAAACATGTAGATGATATCATGAGCTTTTGTGGGACTAGCCCAATAAGCTTTATATTCCTGTGAGTGTTGCACCTTCCCTATACTATGGCAATTCTCTGACTATCTGCTAAGGTCATATAAGAAATACCAGCTGTTTACCTGGCACAAAGGGGCCAGAAGCAAGGGAGAGAATCTGGTTCATTTTATATCAAATATGAAGACTATAGAGGAAAATTTAAAAATAGACACATTTGTGGGATTTGAGGGGTCTTGTAAGCATCCTCTTTGGATATTTTGACCTTTTTAAACATCTCTGGGATTCTGCAGGTGGACCATATCTCATGGAGTTCTCTAATCAAGAGCACTTCTGGCCTAAGTAGTCACCACCTGAGGATTTCCTCAGGAGAAAGTACTCCTAAGGAAGCCATGAAAGACAATTTCAAGCCTTAAGCACTCTCCCACAGGATCAGATAAGTTATAACTACACTGGAAGATTCTTCTTGTCTGCAGGAGGATGAGTGAGGAGAAGGGAAAAACCTTTAACATGAAATAATTCACCTTCCCGCATAGTAAGCTGTATATTGGAGGGTGGGATGAGTTAACCTTCCCTTAAAAGTTGGACCATATCATGATGTTTTAATCTCAAAGGAGAGTAAGGATGGTCTTGAGGAAAAATTACTAGGTCATTGAAATGGGACATGGGCGTTCTGGATTTTCTAGAGACATCCTGCTAGTTCCTCATCTGTAAAATACCAATGTTTCCTTTCTTCCTCCCTTTGTTTGTCTTGAGACAGAAATTGGTCTCTCCAGAGAAGGGACTGTCTTAATTTGTGTAAGTTACAGGACCTAGTATAATGGGACCCTGATTTCAGCTGGGGCTTCTAGGTGTGACTGTCATAAAAATAAAAAGTTACTTAAATGGGTACCATTAGCAGTATTTAAGAGCATTGTGGCAAAGCTGGTTTAGTTAAAATAAACAGGGAACTGGTATTTTGATGAAAAATTAGTTGTCGTATGTGGTTCGTGTACTTTGAAACTTTCTGAAAATACCACATCTACAAATTTTAAAACCACTGTAACCCATTTCTTTCATTAGTTTAATACACACAAGGAGTTGGTAACAATAGGGGAAAAGGAGGCAGGAAGGGAGCAGAATAGAAAGATCAGGAATCTCTTCAACAAGGTCCAGCCACTTAATGGGGACAAAGTTTCAATCTCTTCTTCTAATTTTGGTATGAAGGAAGCATAAGTTTTTATGCTTTCCCTCTCCTCATGACATACACACACTTCCAACTAGTGAGACCTAACGAGGGAAGCGGGGGGAATGTTTTATATTCTTTCTCCTTTGCCTTCTTGGTTCATAATCCTTTCTGGCAGTAGAGGCTAGAGAAAAGGAAACTTTGCCAAATCTCTGTGTGTTGTGCTTTTTTTTCTCTTCCACCAACAGTCCCTGCTTCTGTTCTAGGGCTTCCCACACACAGCAGCATGAAATTGACAAGTATCCGGTCAGTTTCCACTTCCATAGATTTTGAATACTAGTGGAAATGACTAGCTTCTTGTTTGGAGGATCTGCTGTTCATAAGGTAGTAAGTAGCTGAACTAGGGTGGGTTCTCAGCTCTGCTTTGCTTAGTGGGTATAGGATACGAGG